CTCACCTCAGCCTCCCAAAGCACGGGATTACAGGCTGAGCCACCGAGCCCAGCTAACAAGAAGTCTTCTATTATTTTAATCTTTTTCCTGTGTACTTAATGTGTCTTCTGGCTATTTTAGGGTTTTTTCTCTCACGTGACTTTTAGCAGTGTGATTGGACTATGTCTATACATGCTTCTTCCTAGGTTTTATTCAGCTTGGAGTTTGCCGAGATTCTTGGTTCTCTGGGTTTAGAATTTTCATCATCCTTGAAATTCTTCAGCCATTATTTCTTCAAATACCTTTTTGTCCCTCCCTTCCCCACTTCTTTGGAATTCCAGCCATACGTATGTTGGACTGCTTATCGTCTCATACGTCACTGACAGCTCTGTTCTTTCTTTTTTCCAGTCTTTTTTCTCTTCATGTTTTATTTTGGGTATTTTCTCTGGTTATATCTTCATTTCTATTTTCTTCTCCGGTCTAATCTGTTATTAATCTATGTTTCTTTTCCATCCAATATTTAATGTTTCATCTCGAGTATTTCCACATGAATATTTTACACTTTTATTTCTTTTCATCGTTTTCATGTTTCTCTCTACCTTTTTGAGCATCTGGAACATATTTATCTTAGCTGTTTTATCACCCTTGTCTGCTAGTTTCATCATCTTTGTCATTTCTGAGTTGGTGGATTGGCTTTCTCCTGATTATGGGTCATATTTCCTGCTTTTATTTTTGTATGCCTGGAAAATATTTGTATGCTATGCCCCATAAATTTTATACTTCTGCTTGCTGTATTTTGTTGTGATCTCTAAGAGTGTTGGATTTTTTTTTCTGGCAGTTAAGTTAGTTAGAATCAAATGAATTATTTTCAAGACTGACTTTTAAGCTTTTTAGGATGGATACAGGGCATTCATTCCTTAGTCTGGGGCTAATTCAGCCCCACTACTAAGGCAATAGCCTTCTGAGTACCAAATGCTGCAAATTTTACAAGGTCTTTCCACTCAGGTGTGTGAAAACACAAGCTATCCCCAGCCCTATGCAATCACTAGGAATTGTTCTGCCTGCTTCTTTTTTTGATGTCCACCCCCCGCCCCCAGGCCTTTGGTAGTTTCCCCTTGCTCACACAGCTGAGTACCTAAAGAGAGGTCCTTCTGTAGATCTCCACAGTTCTCTCTCTCTCTCTCTCCCCGCCCCCTTGCCTTTCCTTTCCCTTTTCCTCTCTCCCTCTGTCTCTTTCTCTCTGTCTTTCTGTCCCTCTGTTTCTCTCCCCCCCCAGCTCTCTCCTCTCATACACTGTGACCCACAAGTGACAGGTGAGTTGGCCTCCCTGAACACCAATTTTCATCTCTCCATTCAGCAAAACGACCAGGCTCTGTTTGTGTCTCCTTTCTTGCACTATAATCCAGAAACTGCTTCCAGGTGGGAAACTGGTGCAATCATAGGACTCACCTGGCTATTACCTTCTCCCAAGATCATGGTCTTGTGCTTGTTGCCCAGTGTTTGAAAGCCACTGTTTCTTATATGTGTTGTCCAATTATCTTGTAGTTTAAAGCAAGAAGGTAAATATGGCCCCCGTCACTGCATCTCGTCTTCTGTTTCTCTCTGCTGAGATTATTTACTTTTATGAGCTTTCAAGTTAGACTTTTTTCTGAAAAGATATTTTTCCTGTATTTCTAATAATTTCTGTCATCCTATTTCTGAATTGTTTTAATGGTTGGTATATTTTATGTTATTTTATTTAGTATCCACAAAATGCTCTGAAGCAGATGCTCTTATGCCTTTATTTCTTTTTTTCTCTCTCTTTATTTTATTATTGAGATGTGTGGTACAAGTCAGGATTAGGTACATGTGTAGGTGAAGTTTGGAGTTTCAACAGTACATGATCCTAACCATTAGCGCCAGTGATCCTCTCGGAGGACAAGGATTGGGATGGGGTTTCAGAGATGTGAGTCTATATCACCCCTACAAAGTCTTCCTTTTGTCTTTCCCCCAATTTCCCCCATTTTGGCTCTCTGTCAGACCTGTCGAAAGCAAACAGCTGAAGTGATTCAAACAGTGGTCAAAGGCTTTGTTCAACTAAGGAGACTCTCTCAGTCAAATAGGATTGAAGTTTTATAGAGAGAAGCGGGAGGTGTGTCCTTTGGTTTGCCTCAGGTAGCAGGTTTTGTCCTAACTGCTGCAAAACTTGCGGGGGGAATGACTGGACACTGTTTCCATCTGTCATACCTCTTGGTCAAGCTTGCTGGTGCAATCCAGTCCAATGACTGTAGGAACCATTCTTTCAAGGGCAGTTTTTTAAAGCATGCTGGTTTGTCTCTTAGACTAGATTCATGGGCAAAGTAGGTAGCAAAAGAATATGGAAAAGAAAATTAGTGCTAGGTCAAAAGGATCAAAGGCAAGGGAACTGGGGCCCTTCCATCACATCCGTTCTAATCCTTTTCCAGTCCCTTCAAAGCCGGAACCTACCTTGACACCTTCTTTCTGCTTTCTGTCAGGTAGTGCCCAAAGGTGCTGGAATCTCCATGGCAAGTGCCGCCGTCGATGCTTCAGGAAGGAGACGGTCTATGTTTACTGCACAAACAGTAAAATGTGCTGTGTGAAGCCCAAGTACCAGCCCAAAAAGATACCGTGGTCATTTTAAGTGTGTTAAAGCCTGAAACCATGAAAACGCAGATGAAGCCACCCTGAGTCTGACCCCAGTGAACTCCTGAGTTCCATCAATAAACACCTCTGGCTGATCCCTATGTTTGCATGTGAGTGCAGTCCAGCAGCTCCCAGGAGATCTCCTTTCAGGTGGTTTGGGATGTCAAGACTGTTTTCATCATCATAATAAGATACTATTATAATAAGATATTATTTGCCTCTTTTAAGTTCACTCTCTCACAAATGTATTCTGGAATATACATGACATATGACATCATTGTTCTGGCAGCTAACAAAAGATGTGCTTATGTACTCTTGTGTTTCTAGAATGTTCTAAGGTAGAGAAGTCTTAAGATATAAGGATGTTCATTTTCAGAGATTAACATAGTTTGTTCTCAGTAATTCTACTATCCTCTTACAAACTGTCTTTGGTTATATTATTAATCTCTGTAACCTCATTATCATCGAATAAGCCTTTACTCAGAAATTCCAAGACTTTCCTTGCACCACAAGACATAAGAACACTTTGTTGTCTTGGTTTGCTGAGGTATGTTAACAGTCACACTCCTCGAGCAAGTGTGAGGAAGTGGAGGACCAGATTGGGCAGGATGATCACAGATGCGCAGCTTGCCATCTTTGCCAACATGCTGGGTGTGTCGCTCTTCTTGCTCATTCTCTACCACGTGTGGCCGTCAACAACCCCAAGAAGCAGGAGTGAAAGTGGCACGCTCCCCAGGGTTCCAGGACATAGTCTGAGGCACGATGGAGGGTGTGAGGGGCCTTCACACTTCACCTCAACCCTTCTGCCTATCATAACATACGAAGCAACTACACCTGACGTTTTCCAAACAGCTTTTATTTCCTCAAAGTCTTCCCTGACCCTATGGAACAAGAAGCTGCCACTGAATAGGGCCCAGGCTAGGGACTGCTTTCTTTTTATTCCCTCCCCCCCAAGATAAAAATATAGATAAACCAAAAAAAAAAAGGTACCAACTGCCTAACAGAAGAAAGGATATGCTCTCCCTGAGTTTAAAAAAAAAACATATTCTAATCTCTATAGTTCTGAAAGATATACAATTAAAAATTTATAAGACATACACAGAAGCAGGAAAATATGGCCTATAATCAAGAATAAAAGTAGTCAAGTAGAAGCAGACCTGAAGATGGTAGAATTGCTGGAATTAGCAGACAATGCTAAAATAATTATTATAAATAAGTTAAAAAATTAGAAGAAAAGGTTAATAAAATGAGTGAAAGGATGGCGAATTAAACAAATACATGGAAAAATAATGCATCAATTTTCTATTGCACTGAAACTGCTACAAAACTTAAAATAACAACTATGTATTTCTCAGTTCTATGCTTTACATCTTTCTTCTGATATTTTCATATAAAGTCATTCATGTCCCTGCATCTTTTTTCACATGGCCTCTCCACCTCAAGGAAGCTAACCATGACCTCTCCCACGATGGCTGGGTCCAACAGGGTAAGCCTCAACACAGCATTTCTCAAACTTCTGGTTATGTTACATTTGCTGGGGTCCCATTGGCCAAAGCAGGTCATGTGGCCCAGGGTCATGTGAAAGAGAAGTACACTAGGGCATAAATGCCAGGAGGCAGATTCACTGGACAATCACCAATGTATGAGCCCACCACAGATGGAATCTCTAAGAATAAATTGGACATTCTAAACTGAGAACTATAAAACCTAAAATTAACATCAGAGAAATGCAAGTTAAAACCACAGTGAGACGCCATCTCATATCAGTTAGAATGGCTATTATTAACAAGTCAAAAAACAGCAGCTATTGGTGAGGTTGTGGAGAAAGGGACCACTCATACATTGTTTGTGGGTATGCAAGCTCATTCAGCCTCTGTGGAAAGAAGTTTGGAGATTTCTCAAGGAACTAAAAGTAGATTTACCATTTGACCCAGCAATCCCACTACTGGATATATAGCCAAAGGAGCATAAATTGTTCTACCAAAAGACATCTGTACTTGTATGTTTATTATAGCACTACTCACAATAGCAAATACATGGAACCAACCTAGGTATCCATCAGTGGTGAACTGGATAAAGAAAATGTGGTATATATGCACCATGGAATACTACACAGCCGTCAAAAAGAATGAACTCATGTTCTTTGTAGCAGAAGGGATACAGCTGGTGGCCATTATTCTAAGTGAATTAATGTAGAAACAGAAAACCAAATACTGCATGTTCTCACTTAAAAGTGGAGGCTAAACACTGAGTACACATGAACATAAAGATGATAACACAGCCGGGCTCGGTGGCTCAGCCTGTAATCCCACACCTTTGGGAGGCTGAGGCGAGTGGA